TCACTCGCTCACTCCTGCCACACGCCGGAGCGCGCGGGCGAAAGAAGACCGGGCCAGCCTTCCCTCACCGCATTGCGGCGCGGCGGCCCAATGGCAGTCGCAAAATTCACATCGTGCGCGGCAGCAGCAAGAGGAGGAGGAGGAGGGGGACGAGGAAGAGGGGGAAGAAGGAGGGAGGACAACCAATCGGCTGGCAAATGATAGGGATTCCGCCGAGAAAAACGATGCACCCTGGCCCTCAAGCTTGCGGGGGCGGGCCCTGGAGGCGCCTGCCTCGCGTGACCGGCCTCCCGCCCGCGGACCCCCTCTGCACCTGGGCCCCCCGGGCCGCCGAAGGCCGCCGACGGCCGCCGCGCCTCGATGGAGTTCGAGGTCTCCTCGGCCTCGTCCGCTATGGGCAACCGGAGCCCCTCGACGGCGAAGCTGCCGCGGAAAGGCGCCGCCTCGGCCTGCCAGGAACGACTGCGCCGCCGACGACGACGACGACGACGACGACGATGACGAAGATAATGACGACGACGACGACGCCGCCGACGACGACGACGACGACGACGACGACGACGACGACGACGACGGCGACGACGACGATAATGACGACGATGACGATGACGATGACGGCGGCGGCGGCGACGGCAACGGCGGCGGCGGCGGGGGAGCAGGAAAGCAAGACTCGCAAGCACAGCGCCTCACGAGAAACTCACCTGGCTCATGACGGGCGAAGGTCCACGGGTCAGCCTCACAATGGTTCTGGCATCTGGTGGCCTCTCAAAGCCTCGGGGGGGTTCTCTGGGGACGCCCCGAAGACCTCCTCAGAACGCCCAGGGACCTCTGGAGCGCGGAAAGGGGGGAGGGGCTTCCGACGGGGGAAGTCCAGGGGGGGGGTTAGCTGAGCCCCTCCCCGCTCCTTTGGACAGGGGGAGGGGGTCAGCTTCTGGAGGGCGAAAGGAGGGGGCAGGGGGGGGGACCTTTCGAGGGGCGGGAACCAAAAAATCGGGGGGGCTTCCAGCAGGGGAGGTCCAAAGGGGGGAGGGGGGAGCCAAGGGGGGACCCCCAGCCTTTGGGAGTACACCACGCGCGCGATCTCCCAGAGCTGCAGAGAAGGAGGGCGGAACATGGAAGAGGGAAGAGGAGGACCTTCTCGGCCGATCCTCTGCGATTCGACGCGAAAGCGCCCGAGGCGAGGGCGCGAAGCGCCGCTGCAGGCCTTCTGCCTCGCACTGGGCGCGGGGGCGCCCTGCGGCGGGGGCCTGCGGTGCAGGGGAGAGAGCGGTCGCCGCCGCAGCCTTCGCCGTCGCCGTCGCTTTCACCGTCGTCGTCACCGTCGCTGCCGCCGTCGGCGGCAGCACATGCAGAGGAGGAGCAAGAGGTGGAGGAAGAGACGGATGCTGGCGGAACACACAGCCTCAAGGGTGGTTTGTCCCTGTACGTGAAAATTACCGCATTGACGAGGATTCTCGAACTGACGATGTGCAAGCATAAACTGCTGATCGCATCGGCCACGAGCGCCGGGACAGAAGAAAATTAGGTTCACAAGAGATCCCCCCCTCTGGGGGGGCAACACTGAAGCAATCTACGTGTAGAAAATATGGAATTTGAAGATACGGAAAGATAAGGGGGTGGAGGAGGAGGAGGAGGAAGAAGAGGAGCCCCCCCATCATCAGGATCATCTCTCCTCCTTCTCCTCCTCCTCCTCCTCCTCCTCCACCTCCTCTTCCTCCTCCACCTCCTCCTCCTCCTCCTCCACCTCCTCCTCCTCCTCCTCCTTCATCTCCTCCTCCTCCTCCTCCTCCCTCCTCCTCCTCCACCCTCCTCCTCCTCGTCCTCCTCCTCCTCCTCCTCCTCCTCCTCTCCTCTCCTCCTCCTCCCCTTCCTCCTCTCCTCCTTCCTCTCTCCTCCTCCTTCCCTCCCCTCCTCCTCCTCCCTCCTCCCTCCCCCTCCTCCTCCTCCTCCTCCTCCTCCTTTTTCCTCCCCCTCAACCTCCACCTCCTCCTCCTCCTCCTCCTCCTCCTCCACCTCCTCTTATGTGTCTTCTTCTTCTTATCATTAGTATTAGTATTACTGTTCCTATGCTTATTATTCTCATTCGTATTAGTATGTAATGGTTATTCTTAGTGTTCTGCTTCTTACGTTTATTATTAGTAATCCTATTATTACTAGTATTGGTACTAGTGTTAGTAGTATTATTAATAGTAGTATTAGTATTGTTACTATTAGCATTAATACTATTAGTAGTAGTAGTAGTAGTCGTAGTAGTAGTAGTAGTAGTAGTAGCAGTAGTAGTAGTAGTCGTAGTAGTAGTAGTCGTAGTAGTAGTAGCAGCAGCAGCAGCAGTAGTAGTAGTAGTAGCAGCAGCAGCAGCAGTAGTAGTAGTAGTAGTAGTAGTAGTAGTAGTAGTAGTAGTAGTAGTAGTAGTAGTAGTAGTAGTAGTAGTAGTAGTAGTAGTAGTAGTAGTAGTAGTAGTAGTAGTAGTAGTAGTAGTAGTAGTAGTAGTAGTAGTAGTAGTAGTAGTAGTAGTAGTAGTAGTAGTAGTAGTAGTAGTAGTAGTAGTAGTAGTAGTAGTAGTAGTAGTAGTAGTAGTAGTAGTAGTAGTAGTATAGTAGTAGTAGTAGTAGTAGTAGTAGTAGTAGTAGTAGTAGTAGTAGTAGTAGTAGTAGTAGTAGTTTAGTAGTTAGTAGTAGTAGTAGTAGTAGTAGTAGTAGTTAGTAGTAGTAGTAGTAGTAGTAGTAGTAGTAGTAGTAGTAGTTAGTAGTAGTAGTAGTAGTAGTAGTAGTAGTAGTAGTAGTAGTAGTAGTAGTAGAAGTGAAGTAGTAGTAGTAGTAGTAGTAGAAGAAGTAGTAGTAGTAGTAGTATCAGTATAAATATTAGTGTTGTTGTTATTTTGTTTGTTGTTATTATTAGTGATATTGTTAGTGTTCGTAGAATGATTGGTCACCATAGTATTCAAATGTTTATTATTATATTTGTTATGTTTAAAACCCTTTTTAATATTATTGTTACTATTATTGTTGTTCGTAATAATAGTATGTCTCTTATTATTACTCGTCAGCATCATGCGCATCCTCATGTTAATATTGTTCGTAGTATTATTAGTAGTAGTCTTGTTAGGTGTATTATTATCACTCTTATTAGTATTAATATGATGAGTCGTATTGCACTGCTTCTTAATAGCCTTCTTAGTAGTCCTAGTGTTACTCTTAGTAGTGGAATTGTTAGTAATCGTGTTAGTCTTCTTATTATTCAAATGTTTCTTCGTGTTACTAGTGTTCTTCTTATTAATAATAAAAAGTAATACTATTATTAGCATTAGTACTGTTGCTTATTAGTATTACTATTATTAATACTATTCCTCTTCCTGCTCATCCTGCTCCTCCTCCTCCTCATCCTCCTCCCCCTCCTCCACCTCCTCCTCCTCCTCCTCCTCCTCCTGCTCCCCCTCCCCCTCCTACTCCGCCTCCTCCTCCTCCTGCTCATCCCCCTCCTCGTCCTCATCCTCCTCCCTTCTCCTCATCTTCCTCCTCCTCATCCTTATCCTCCTCATCATCGTCCTCCTCATCCTCCTCCTCCGCCTCCTCCTCCGTCTCCTCCTGCTCCTCCTATTCCCTCGTCCATCCTCCCCACCCTTCCCTCCCAACTCCTTGTGCGGCTGTTCCTCCCAGTCCTCCTCGTCCTCCCCCTCTCCTCCTCCTCTTCCTCCTCCTCCTCCTCGTCCTCCTCATCCTCCTCATACTCCTCCTCCTCTTCCTCATCCTCCTTCTGCTCCTCCTCCTCCTCATCCTCATCATCATCATTATCATTATCATCATCATCATCATCATCATCATCATCATCATCATCATCATCATTCATCATCATCATCATCATCATCATCATCATCATCATCATCATCATCATCATCATCATCATCATCATCATCATCATCATCATCATCATCATCATCATCATCATCATCATCATCATCATCATCATCGTCCGCCTCCCCCTCCTCCTCCTCCTCCTCCTCCTCTTCCTCCTTCCCCTCCTCCTCCTCCTCCCTCCTCCTCTTCCTCCTCCTGAGTTGCGAGAAATGCAGCCCAGTAGGGCGTTTGCCCGGAGCAGGACTCACAAGGGCGCGCTCATCACCAGCTCGACAGATCTTTCATCTCGCGTAGGTAATGTGAGAACCATGGATGACGGAGGAGGGACAGATTTTACGAAATTAAGATACCAGTCCGCGCTGGCTTGAGTTTCGCTCGAGCTCCGCTCTGTGTGGGGGGGGAAGCGATGTGCTCCGCTTTCCGCTCCGTCGCAGCTGCGCTCTGTGGGGGACGGGGGAGGGGGGGGTGCGATGTGCTCCGCTTTCGGGGACGGGGAAGAGGAAGAAGCTCAGGCCGCCGCTTCGCGAGTGGAAGAACATAAGGAGGAAGGATGGACAGGAGGATGAGGAGGAGAGAAGAGAATGGAGGAGGGGATATAGTGAGGGGGAGTACAGGCAAGGCAGAAAATAGAAAGAGATTGCAAAGCAGGAAAAGGAAAGAGGAGAAAGTAATACGGACGAAGGAGGTGGGGGGAGGGACGAAAGGAGAGGAAAGAAATGACAGGCAGGGGGGAAGGAGAAGGAACGCACAGGACTGCTGCCAACAGCAGCGGGAAGCCCCCCGGATCGGCGGCACTGGCCAGAGGCCAACACAATAAGATACCAGTCCTCAAAGACACGTCGCGTGCTCGGCGTGTTCGCAGGGTTTCGAATGGTTCGGAGGAGAAGCGGAATGCGATTCGATCGGAACCCATGAACTTAAAACTAAAGCAAGAGCGGTGGCAGGAGCAACGGAAACTGGATAGGACTGCCAGTGCCGACAATGGGGGCAGAAGGGGGAGACAATGGCAGTAGCAATAGCAGCAGCTGCAGCTGCGGCAAAGTCGACGCCAACTAGACGCAAAGAGACTGAGCAAAGGACATGCAATTGAGACGGATCACGAGGATGGATCACGCACACACCGGAAGACAAGCATCGCTGACATTT